GAGGGACCCTAGTAAACATAATGTTCTTCATTGTAGATTAATGATAACAACAACAAAAAATTCATATGGAACCACAAAAGACCCCAAATAGCCAAAGCAATCCCTGAGAAGGAAGAATAAAGCTGGGGGGATTATGCTCCCCAACTTCAAGCTCTACTACAAAGCCACAGTAATCAAGACAATTTGGTACTGGCACAAGAACAGACCCATAGACCAATGGAACAGACTAGAGAGCCCTGATACAAACCCAACCATATATGGTCAATTGATATACAATAAAGGAGCCATGGAAAAACAATGGGGAAATGACAGCCTCTTCACCAGCTGGTGTTGGCAAAACTGGACAGCTACATGTAAGAGGATGAAACTGGATCACTGTTTAACCCCATACACAAAAGTAAACTTGAAATGGATCAAAGACCTGAATGTAAGTCATGAAACCATAAAACTCTTAGAAGACAACATAAGCAAACATCTCCTGAATATAAGCATGAGCAACTTCTTCCTGAACCCATCTTCTCGAGCAAGGGAAACAAAAGCAAAAATGAACACATGCGACTACATCAAACTAAAAAGTTTCTGTATGGCAAAGGACACCATCAACAGAACAAAAAGGTATGGGAGAATATATTTGTAAATGACATATCTGACAAGGGGTTAACACAAAAAATACATAAAGAACTCACATGCCTCAACACCCAAAAAGCAAATAACCCAATTAAAAAATGGGCAGAGAATATGAAGATACAATTCTCCAAAGAAGAAATTCAGATAGCCAACAGACACATGAAAAGATGCTCCACATCACTAATCATCAGGGAAATGCTAATTAAAACCACAATGAGATATCACCCCACACCAGGTAGGATGGCCAGCATCGAAAAGACTAAGAACAACAAATGCTGACAAGGATTCAGAGAAAGGGTAACCTCTCCTACACTGTTGGTGGGAATGTAAGCTAGTTCAACCATTGTGGAAAGCAATATGGAAGTTTCTCAAAAAACTAAAAATAGAAATATCATTTGACCCAGGAATCCCACTCCTTGGAATTTACCCAGACTCAAAAAGACATATGCACCCCTATGTTTATCGCAGCACTATTTACAGTAGCCAAGATATGGAAGCAATCTAAGTGTCCATCAGTAGAAGAATGGATAAAGATGATGTGGTATATATACACAATAGAATACTATTCAGCCATAAGAAAGAAACAAATCCTACCATTTGCAACAACATGGCTGGGAGCTGGAAGATACTATGCTCAGTGAAAGAAGCTAGGTGGAGAAAGACAAGTGCCAAATGATTTCCCTCATTTGTGGAGTATAACAACAAAGCAAAACTGAAGGAACAAAATAGTAACAGACTCACAGACTTCAAGAAGGGACTAGTGGTTACCAAAGGGGAGGGGTGTGGGAGGGTGGGTGGGGAGGGAGGGAGAATGGCTTTGAGGACTAAGTTTCATATACATGGTGTGGGGGGGTCACCGGGAAAACAGTGTAGCACAGAGAAAGCAAATAGTGAATCTGTGGTATCTTACTACACTGATGGACAGTGACTGCATTGGGGTATGGATGGTGACTTGATAATATGGTAAATGTAGTAACCACATTGTTTTTCCATGTGAAACCTTCATAAGAGTGTATATCAATAATACCTTAATAAAAAATTAAAAAAAAATAGAATGAATGGAAAAAGACTCAGATTTGACATACTGTGTGGAAACTTGGAATAATATCTTGAAAGTTCTGAATGAAAGTGATTTTGAACCTAGAATAATATGCATAGCCAAACTAACATTAAAAAATATGAGGGCAAATTAAAGTAATTTTCAGACATTTAAAGACTGAAGTACAACCCATATATCTTCTCTGAAAAGAATTTATTATTAAGGATATACTCCAGCAGAAACAATGAATTCAAGAAAAATGATAATCTGGTTACAAGAGACAGTGATGAGCATAGAAACCATAACAATTTACTAAGTTAAATAATTGCTTATGAATAATGTAAAAAAAAATACATGTAAAGGACAGTTGGAAACTAAAATCCCAGGTCATCCCATCAAGGGACATAGAGTTGAAAGGAGGAAGGCTGGGAAGAGAACTAAGGTTGTAGTTTCCTCCAGGAGGACACAGATACGGACACTCCAGAGGTCAGCTCAAATCAAATTTAAGGATAATCACCAGAAGAAGTAAGATAAATGACCAAGGGGAGATAAGGATGAGATGGGAAAACAAGGAGAAAACTTGTTAACTGATAAACCCAACAAACAGCATGAAAGAAGAAGAATTATAAAAGCACAATAAACTGCAAACACAACAGTTGGAAAATTAAGTCCAAATAATCAATAAATGTAATAAATATGAATATATTAAGATTAAGCAAAATTATGAAATTTGTTTATAAAAATCAAATAAAAAATTAAATGCCACAGAAAGTTTGAAAATAAAAAATACCAAGCATATTCTGAAAAGCAAACTTAGTGACACAGTCAGCAAACAAAATATATTTCAAAGCAAAAACATTCAATGAGACAGCAATAGCCCAGTATGAGTAAAGTATGCTCTATCAAGAAGATTTAACAGTCATGAATCTTCAAGGACTTCATTATCAGCTGAAAAACTAAAGACTCTAAAACAAACCAAATGTTGATCAAAAACGGCACTGAATAAATTATGGCACACTTAAGTTAAATACTATGTAGATATTAAAAAAAATGATATAAACTGATACGCAATCTTTGGAAAAAGTTCCAAGACACATTACTGAAACAAAGCAATTTTCAGAACTTGTGCATGCAGCATGATCCCTTCCATATGTCTTTTAAAATAATACACACAAGCTGATAAAAATTTATTTTTAGGAAGGAATATATGAGACTATTTTGAAGTGAGAGGTTGAGGTGCCCTTTCATTTTTTTCTTTTTTATACTGTTTGAATTTTCTAACCAAATGTTGAAAAAACATATAAGCTAAGAAACATGGGATTATTTTATCCTGTTTTTTTCATGTCTGGCTACTGGGTTTTGTGGTCTTCTTAGAATTTTAACCACTCTAATGTCCTGTAAAATTTACCCATGTTTTCTTCTAGTGCTTTTACAGTTTCACTTTTTCCACTTCAGTTTACAATCCATCTGGAATTTATCTGGATATAAGGTATGAGGTGGAACTACAGCTTCCCCCCACATGTACCAAATTCCTAGCAGTTGTCTTAAGGCGAATCATTGGAGAATTAATCAATTGTCCTCACTACTTGACTTTTATCAGAAACCAAATTCTGTCTATGTTTTGGTGGATTTCAGACTAATCTATCTATTACTACATAAAAACCAAACTATTTCATTACTATAGCTTTATAATGTATTCTATATCTAGGGGGGCTGATTTTCCCTTAATGGGTCTTTTCCAGAATAAGGATCATTTTTCCATATTACCTTTATTGTAATTTGTCCAAAGAAAAGAAAAAAAACTTATGAATGAGCCAGGTAGTCCCAAAGTAGCAAATAAATAAACAGCTATTCTTTCATGATTACAAAATGCTAAGACATTTACCCAATTTCTTTGCTTTTGCACTACTAGGATTAGAAAGCAATACTTTAGCTCTTAATTTACACAACTGATAATGCTCTGGTCAGTTTTCAGTGATGAGAGAGTGGGCAAGTCCAACTACACCTAGGGGAACAGCTGTGCATATGAAGTGGCCATTGTGAAGGCTTCATTGTCACCTCATCTTGTACCAGTCCTTCCCACATGTGATACTTCAATCACACTGGCCTTATTTTCATTTCTTTAATACACCAGAGTTGGTCTTGAGTTAGGACCTTGCATACAGACTATTTGCTCAGCATGGAATGCTTTCCTTGCAACCCCTTTGTGCCTGGGTCCTTCATTTTGTTCAAAACTTGGCTCAAGTAACTTTTCAATGAATAACTCATATAAAGCAGTTGTACTGCTCCCCAAGACAGCATCACATCTCTTTGTTTTACTTTTTATAACTTATTATATCTGAAACTATTTACTTTACTATTTATTGTCTGTCTCACACATTTAAGTTTAACTACATGAGAACAAGGAATGTGCTGATTTTGTTCACTGCTGTATTCCCAGTGCCTAGTACAGGTCAGACAGTCAACATGTATCAAATTAAGGAATGAACAGATGGACACCTAGGCCTTATGCAAGTGAGTAGGATGGGTAACAACACTACAATACAAAGCTGATAAGGACCCAAAAGTGTACACCTTAGTAATCACCTGCAAAATGTTCGAATATAATCCTGGTTGATTCTGATGAAGCCAGCACACTGTTGGAAGGATTTTGGACCCAGCCCTTTCACTTTCTTCAGCTGTTCTCGATTGATAAAGGGCCCATTTTTCTCTCGCCATTCAATAATATTTTTGGCTCGGTTGGCATTGAGTCCTGCAATATGCCTAAAAATATAAACAAAATGAGTAATATGGCAGATATAATGTCCTAAGAAAAATCAAAGAGAAGATCTCATCTGAAAAAGCAAAGATATAAAATATATGCATCATAAAAAAATCATAATTACACATTGTCATGTGTCTTTAAGTTAATTAAAAAGGTAGTTAAGTAAAAAAGACAAAGGGGAAAGAGTTGCCATGAGGCAAGAAGGACAACAGAATGCAAAATAATGACAAAACCAGTACCTGTCATAAAAGATGCTGGAAAACTGGTTACTACTAGTACAAGAAAAAGAACTGTTCCCCACAATATTTTTACACTAGTTACATTCTATTTCTGAATGAAGTAATAATTCTGCCTATTTCTGTTAGGCTTACAAGTGAGTTAGCAGCAGAAGTTACTATCATTACACGTGTGTTGTACTATCTTGTGTTTTTTATTAGCCTGTTCTGTTACTGTCAAGACATGAACTATAGAAAGGTACTTATCCATTTATATGGTTAGTATAAAACTGTAAGAACTATATCATTAGTTTGCTTGGTGCTAAGTAAAAGCTTATTATTTAAGAGAATCTTAATTCTATTATAGAATTCCATGTATGGAATTATGGAATGTTTGTAGCTATGTTAGAAAAGCACCTCCTGAAAATGTAAGGAACATTTTCTGCTATAATAGTTTCAAAGCAAAAAGGTCCTGATCTTTTCCCAAGGCCCTGAACTTCATGCTGAATCAGCAGACTTGTATAAGACTATGAACAAAAAAGCAGCTCTTCTATAACCACAGGAAAAAAAGATAAAAGTATATAACATGTGCTAGAGTACGATGGACATTGTGATATGTAACTTGTGGAATCAAGGTAAAAATGTGGTAAACCATACCTTGAACCCTCAGAATTTACCTTTTGGTTACTGCCAGCTTTGACAGATGCATGCAAGAGACTGAACTAGTAAAAATATCTACCTTCACATGGTGGAAAAAAGCACTTTTCAACGTTAACCTTATTTAAATTCTATTAGCAACACTAATGCACTCAATGGTTACCATAAGCTCTTCACTTTAGATTTTCAATATTAAAAATGATAATGCAAATTGTTGCAATTCTTTTCTTAAATGATGTCTTTTCTTCTGACTGTTTACCTAAAGCAATGTATGAACTCATAGATTTTCTATACTTGACAATGTGACTATACTTTATACATGTGTTCTACCTGAATTTGAACTGGATAGCCAGTTAAACTCAAGATTCTATGATCTTCAGCCACAGACTTCTTATCTCACCTTAACAAAACTTCTGAACAGATGTTAATATCCACTCCCACAAAACTGACACATTCTTCTACAACACTGTCCAGTGTTGCCTTGAGTAAAGTCTGAGATACATCATGCTAAAAAGACAAAGATCAAATATCAATCAAAAGTGACATGCAGTTTTTAGACTATTCCATTACTTTGCCTATATACTAGGAGATGGCTGAGACACAACATAGTAAATTTCTTCATTTGTCTTAATCACACTTAGCAGATGATACCTGAACTTAAAGAATCTGTGTTTTCTTACTCTCTAAATCACTTATACACTTGATTGGAATATACAGTACCAGTATTTTTCCCTTCCACAAAATTCTGCCAGAGCAGTGGTTCTCAAATTTTAGTCTGCAATCAAATCATCTGCAGGGCTTGTTGAAATAACAGGTTGCAGGCCCCACATTCAGAGTTTTTAATTCAGCAGGTTGGGGTGAGGCTTGAGAATGTGCACTCTAAGAAGCTCCCAGGTAATGCTATTGCTACCAGTTCCAGAGGCACACTAGATACATACTGGTCTTTTTTTTTTTTTGGACACATACTGGTCTCTATCCTTTAAACACTGCCTTGTAGTGTTAACTTTACTTGTGTATGTACTCTGTCCCTTAGTTCTTCTTAAGAGAAGTGTTAAATTATAATAGGCAGCAGCATATCAATATTCAATTTAGTTTGACAGTAAATGAAAGTCTCATGTTTCATGTTTCAAACTAAAGACACTACTGCTTATAAGAAGCATCATATTATGTACCACTATGAAAGAACACATACTGCCAATTAAACCGTAATATAATGATTCCTTATTGCTTTGAATTTTTAATTTTTAAAATATTGTTTAAAAATACTGTTTACCTAAAGCAATGTATGAACTCATAGATTTTCTATACTTGACAATGTGACTATACTTTATACATGTGTTCTACCTGAATTTGAACTGGATAGCCAGTTAAACTCAAGATTTTATGATCTTCAGTCACAGACTTCTTATCTCACCTTAACAAAACTTCTGAACAGATGTTAATATCCACTCCCACAAAGCTGACACATTCTTCTGAAGAGCTCTTTTAGAATTATTTAGAAAGTTTTAAAATCATATATATACATGGATAAATAGGAAAACACAAGCAATCAAAGTTGGTTAAGGTATTACTAAAATTTCCTCACATTCAACATTCAACTCGTCTTAATCGCTTTGTTACTCAGGCACAGATGTCCAAGTTTTCCATGCAGTATTGTCTTTCATGCTATCAAGGGCCTAGGTAATGCAGCATTTCTTAAAAGAACAATACTCTATAGTTTCTGGGAATTTTTTCCAAGCTTCATTGCTCATTCTATAAGGTTAAACTTAACAGAAAGCATCAACAGAGGAGATTTTGGACAGCAACAAAACTCCTATTCTTTCCTTTAAAGGTCCTTAAATGTTTTGCTGTTCAATGGTTTGCTAACTAGAACAATGAAAGGTTTGCAGGTCAGTCATGTCTCCAGGACTGACAATCAAATATATGCAGATGCTACACTCCGATTTGCCACAGGGCCAACAACAACTGTAGGACACCATTAATTACAAGACGCATTCTGATTTCAGAGATGATACAATGTGGGAAAAAAAGCCTCTTAGAGTTCACATAATGTAGTATGTGAAAGTAAATATTTTTGGGCTAATTGAAGCCACATTACCACAATGAATGCTTCGTAGTACACTTGATGTTATTCATCATTCTAAAATTAAAGAGCCTCTACTTGTTCCCAGATATGAAATTGTGGGTCAGCATCCTTCTCTTCTCATGTCTCAAGGAAACAAGGATAGCCTTGATAAACTTAAGCTCTTAAGGAAAACAATATAGTAAATAGAGTCCCCAGTTATTGTGATTACACTATTATCATTTAATAACAGTAGAAGTTTTTGTTCTGGAAGACTAGTGTGGAGTACTTTTGTGTTCCAGAGAAAACCTTGTTGGTAACTACCCAGGCCATAGCTAAAAAGTATAGATGTAATTTTAAAAATCTAGTAAGTAAATATAATCATGAAATAGATCATAAAGAGAAATCTTAAGACCTTGCAGAGAATTACATTACTCTGAGCCATAGCTTTTAAGAAGCTGGATAGTCTTTTCACTGCTAAGTGGATAAGAAATGAAATTAAAAGACGACTTTAAAAAAAGAGTGTAGGAGATGGATGACAATGTAGAGGCAAGCACAATAATAGCAAGAAGGAAAACAAATCTGAGGAAAGAGACAAAACTATAAACAAATAGGAAAGAGTATTAGTTGGGAGCCATCAGAATAAAGGCAAACAACTCCACATAACTCAAAGCACAGCAGATGCTTAGGAAATCTAAATGAATAGCAGTTGCTATAACAGACAATTTTGGTTGCCTATCTAACTTCTAACCCCCTTTTCCACCTTCCAAACAGAAGCCTGATTTTGTTTCATAAATCTCCCAACTTCTGTCAGGCTGTATGCTTTGGGGAAGCTGGCTCCACCTCCAGCAGATGATAATGACTGCTTAAAACTAGTGGTTTTCAAACTGAGGGTTGTGATCTCAGTAGGTCATAAAGTTAATTTGGTGGCTTGCCATCAGTATAAAAAAATCCAGAAAGAATTATATAGACCATATTGAGCATGTCACACATATCCTTAACATGGAATGAACAGTGCAATAAATAATGCAGCCATCTGAGACTATCATATGACAGGAATACATACATTGGCTAGGAACGTGTGTTTTGTTCACAGGTATCTCATTTGATCTGCTGATAAATGATGGTAACTTTGACCACTGATTGATAGAGAGGTTTAAGTTTACTTTTTATAGAGTTATGAAGCAATGTATCAAAAAAAAGTATGAGAAGTTTATCATCTACTGGCAAAATGATGATTCTTTCAACCAAGTTTAGTCACAAGCTTTGTGTATTTTTCAGAAAGGATGGTAGTGAATATAGCATTTTTCAAATTATCAGCAGTTGTAATATTTTAACGAGTTAGTACAAGTTGTCCTTAGAGTGAATCATTTAAACTGTGAAGAAAAAAAAGAATGAAGCAAAGCACAACAAACAGACCTTAAGTATTAATAGTAAGATACCTGAGAGAATATGTTGACTCCAATTAACGATCTTTGACTTGAGTCACATTTTAAATTGAAAAACATAATTATAAGACTTTAAAATAAACTTGATTTAAAAAAAGATTTTACAAATACATAAAACTCAATAAAAATGACAAACACTCCCCTCCCCACTCCTACCAGTGTATTGTTGTTAACATGTTCTTGTAGACAACAGTTTAAAACCTTCAAAATTAAAAAGCAAACAGAAACACTTGGAACATCTCTATCAGAATGACTAAAATTAAAAAGATGGAAATACCAAGTACTAGTAAGGATGTGAAGTAACTGGACTGCTCAAAACATAATCATGATAAATGCAACTTAGGTCAGATATGCAAGGCAAGGCAGTTTTATGGAGGATTTATTTTGCATGGTTTAATTTCACATAAAACTGAATCAGACATATCACAATGTAAAAATGTACGATTATTCAATAAAAATTAAACTAGATAAACTGCAAAGGAATATAAATCAGGCAAAATCCTAGAAACACAGAAGTTGCCAAACTGACTCAAGAAGAAAGAAGAAAATCTGAAAAGACCTGTGTATAACAAGAGAGTCAATTAGTAAACAAAATTCTCCCAAACAAACAAAGGTCTAGGTCCAGACAGATCACTGATTGATTATACCAAACATTTAAAAAATTAACAAGAATCCTCCTCAAACTATTCCAGAAAATAGAGGAGGGAATACTTCCCAACTCATTCCATGAGACCAGCATTACCCTGATATCAAAGCCAAACAAAGATAATACCAGAAAAGAACACCACAGACCCATATTCTTTATGAATATAGGTGCAAAACTCCTCAAAAAAAAATACTAGTAAACCAAATCCAACAGCATATTAAAAGGATTAAACATGACATACATATTATGCATTAAATATATGTGAAAGAAGAACCACATTTTTTTTCATTTGAAAAACAATTTTTCTTGGCATTTTTAAACTTTTAATTTTGAAATAATCTCAAATTTAGAAGAAACTCAATAAGAGTAGTACAAAGAATTTCCTTACAGCCTACCTTCACATAAATACTTCAATGTGTATTTCCAAATAACAAAGACATTGTCATACATAACACTGTAGGATAATTAAATTCAGGAAAGTTATCAAAGCAATATTATCTAATACACAGCCCATACTCAAATTTCATCAGTTGTCCCAATTGTACTTTACAGCATTTCCTTCTCAGTCCAGAATTTAATCTGGGATCAAATATTATATTTGGTTATCTTTTTATACTCTGAAGATACTTTACATTGGGCAGCTTTCAAGATGGCTTCCCAACTCCTGTTGTTCATGTACTGTGAATCCTAGAACTTAATGATGACTTTGCCTATAACAATTATTACTAAAGATCAACCTATGCTCACAATGATCTATTTGTGTGAAAAAGTGTTTTCAATCTTGACTCAATCAAATTTAAAAGAAGAGGTTTAACAGTTTACCATATCTGCTCATTGTCTTCATGTGTTCTGGACTGGAACAAATTAATTAACACCATATACCTATACATTAAGTTAAATCTTCCCTAATTTTCGTATTTGAGAGTTAAAAAACCCTTATATTTAAATATAAATACAATAAAATTTAACTTTATCCTAGGTAGGAAAGGTAAGCATTATTTTGAGATGTTTTTATTTTGAATTATTATATTCAATTGTATAGAGAGATATATACATATATTACACAAATACATGTGAGATGGGTGTTTTGGTCATGACACAAAATATTTCCTACTGTGTGTAATGATCAAAAGGTATGGAAAATAGTGGTCTGAGCCAATCATGGTGATCCCATCCCATTTATTCAATTATGACAAATGAAATGTAAGATAAATCTGCTGGGGGCTTCAGAAAAAGACTTCACTGCTCTTAAATATAGACCGTTATGAAGAGCTGGTCTTTTCTTCTTTTCATTTCAAGTATGGCTCCTGAACCCAGGGTAAGCACTGTATCATGTGATTGAGACTAACTT